ACTATAAAGAAAATAAATGATTAATGGTGTGGAATGGGGTGAAAGGATGCAAAGTGGCACGAAGGAGGGCTAAGAGATGCGAAGAGAGACCAGGAGAGTCTGTTCTGATCAATTTCGGCTCTAAATAGAGTCTAAGGTTGCTTTTTCAATAGGTGCATCCAAAAACTCTTTAAAAAATGTCTAAATTTGTTGAATCTTCCAGAAATATGGTCTGCACCGACATTGGCACCGTCGACGCCAGTGTCCAATCAATTAAATATGCGCTCTCTGTTAAACGAAGTCGTCGATGCCCAGTCAGGCACCGTCAGCGCTGAACATTTTTTCAAAAACTCTATTTTGACTCCAAATTCCATCATTTTTGTTTCATTTGTACTCCAAGTCCTAAAAATCAACAACCTGCAATAAAACATGAAAAAATACATTTTTTTTTAAATTACAATATCACCAAAAATAAGTAAAAAATATGAGTCTAAAAATATATACATTTTTGGAGTATCATTGGTACTTGTATATGATATAAATTTTGAGTTGTCATGATAAACAAGTAATTCATTATGATATTCTTATTTGTTGTTTGCAAGTTGTAAAAATCTGGTCTCTCTTTTATTTTTTTTATTTGTTGTAGGTTTGTGTTGGACTTGCGTCAGACATTCCAAAGCTACTTCAATTTTTTTGACACTCTTCAATACAATCCAACACTAACAATGATGTAATTTTGAGTTTGCAAGCATTCGACGCAAAACTGCTGTTAAAAGTTGCAACGTCAAAGGGTGTATCTAAGCTGGTTAACTACAGACATATGCTAAATCTGATGTAAATGATTTAGTCAAACATGTTTGAAGCTAATTATATTACTGACCTCAATTTTAACACTAATTTTATTACTGACGCGGATCTAATGCTAAAATTGTTTAGCGTCATATTCATCCAAGAATAATTCACATAAGTCTTTAGAGTACACCACTCCAAGTATATAATATGCTCAATCTCACTCTCATCACTTGCTCTCATTTAGGAGAGCACTCAATCTCACTCAAAGCACTTTTTTGAACTGCTCTGACTGCTCCTGAATGATCTTTGGGGACACCTTTGCTTGTTTATGTATTTCTCTGTGTTGTTTGTCTTCTTCCTCGATGTCACTATTATAGTGAGAAAAAAACTTTACTCAAATCGTTTCTCCTTGCCACAAACAGTCAAAACCACCAAAATACGTACTTTGACACTTTGCATGTGCCTGATTTGCAGTAATGCAGACAACAGTCAACTAAGTATATTTGTCACTCAAGTAATATACATATTTGAGTCAGTGCATTAGTCTCAAGTGGAGTGTATTAATTTCTACAATAGGAGAATGGTCTATTCAGCACTCTTAAGTATTGCTTAAAGAATTAAGTTCGATGAAATTTTGAAAGTGATTAGACCTAATTTTCATGAAGAATTGAATCATACAAACTAATTTTAGGTTTTTTTTATCATGTGAGAAGGCCTCCTCTGCATTAGACTTAGCGAACTAGTCATATCCATGTGATTCGAATAAGTTAATGAATATCAAGGATAATAATACTCATTAGCCTCTTCTAAGGTCATAAGAAGCCTTTTAGTTTCATAGTACAGTTAATGTTCACTTAACCATGTAAAACCCTTGTGTTTCTGTATTTACCTATGCGATTACACTACTTTAGCAATAATATTCTTATTCTTTTGAAGAAGTGTACGTTAACCTAATCGTTTCACTAGCATACTTCCATTGTACAACCAATTTTAGCATTCTAAGTGGCTAGATTATGAGTAATTTACAAACAAAATGTTAACCTATCAATGTTCTACTAACAATAAATCAGTCACATTACATGGATAGTTCTAACACGCATAGGTTGCCAACTCAAGAAAATGATAAATTTATTCCTACTAATTGGAGATAAAAAAAAGAGAAATTTATTCCACAATCAAAGCAAATATAGTTCAGAACAATATCACTATGATGCTCTACTAAAATAGAAGTGATTACAATGAAAATACATCCAATCTTGAAGCAATTATCATAAAAGAGAGCCACCAAGAGGAGTTTTTAAGCAAGCACCTATAACCGTAATTACTTCCTTTGATAAATATGTGGAAGGCACAAGTGCAGACAGGCTGATCCACCAACACATGATACCAAACTATAATGAGTGCCTCATCAAGTCGAAAGGACTACTTGACAGTGAAGCCAACTAAGAACATGAGGACACATCATGACAATTCAAAGAAAAGAATATCAAGAAAAAAACACAATGAGGGCATTGCGATTTTAGTTGCAGGAGAGTGTTATGCATCGCCATCTTAATTGGGGCTAGCCATATACATTCAATCAAGATAAATAAGATTCTAGAGAAGATAAAAAAGAATAAGACCAACCAGAGAGACTTTAGAAGGGACAGTCACATTCTAGGGAATGTTGGAAGATGAAAGCTTCAAGAGAAACTCTAGTTAGTCTAAAAAGTTCTAGAAACATGTGTGTAATGTAGGATCATCTAGAAGTTGAAGCATCCTAATGTAATATAGTAAATTCTCTAGGTGTTGAGGATGGACTATAAATAGAGGTCCCTCCCTCTCATTTGGAACAATCGAATATTCCCAAGTAATCAAGTGTGTAAACATTCATCCCTTAATGAAGTGTTTCATTTTTTCAATAACACCTCCTTACTTCTTTTTTAGAGAGTTTTTGTTTTTCTAAGTCCAATCGTTGCAATTGTTTGGTTGACTTCGTTCTTAGGAAGAGCGCTAAGGCTGCACGAGTGACTTGAGAGATGTTTGTCCATGATAATGTGCTATGTATGTGCATGCTGGAGAGTGGTGCCCTGATGTTGAAGGAATGACACATAACTTCCAACGTCTTTATGTGTTCACTCCAAGAGAAGTGACACCATGTTGCCAGTACTGACGTCCTGGTGCAACCTTTATAGATGTTCAAGATGTTGAAATGTCATCCTGGTGTCAAGACTGTTGCTAAACTTCCAATCTCAGGCGCCCGATTTCAGGATTGCCACCAAACTTCCAGCTATTGACACCATACTTTTAGTTCTTAGCACCATACTTTCAGCTCCAAACATAATACTTCCAACTCTCCTTCCTACTTGTATCCCTGCATAAACAAGCACAACTACTCAAAGAAAAATATAAAAATAACACAAAATAAAAGAATAAAACATATAGAAAATCACATAACAATTTTTTTTTTCTTTCACATCAGTCCCACATCTTCTCCTCTGTCAATAATTTTTTTTACCCAATGCATAAAAAAATAAAAGAAAATTAGTAAGATGTATTTCATGTGATAGTTTTTTTTAATGCTAAAAAAAGCTTATTTTACATTGATACTTTTTATTTATAAAATCATATATTTTTTCATAAAGGCTAGATTGACATCACTATCATATACCCTCTGACCAGTTCTCTCTATTGCCAAACAATCATTAATGCAATATATTGACATTGCAAGATATCTCATGTTTATTACAACAAAATTTGACAAAAAAGCTAACTTAGGAGAAAAATTAAAAGATTTCACTATCATTATTTCTATAAAACAAATTATTTCCACTGCAGAAGCAAACAATTAAATTAAACAACATTTTCCTATTGAAAATAGTCTTCCTCTGTTATATAAATAATTCAAGTGCAGCCTACTGACAAAATTGCAACTCATCTTAGGTCTACATTTGAACCCAAGTAGCAACATTGAAAAAGAAAAAGGCCCTATCCTTTCAGGATTCGTTTGAGAAGACTGTGAAGTTCCGTTGCACTGAACGCCAACGTGTAGAAAATTTTTTGTTCGGTGAAACAACGTATCTTGAAAGTCGTTCGAATTTGTTTCTAAAAAATGACAAGTGTTTACCGTTTTAGATCGTATATGGCTTTCTCTGTTCTGCCAATGTGACTTTTAAATGAACTTTACTGAACGACGAAGCTCCTTCAAATGCAACCTCAATCGGGTTAACCTATGTGCATGCATGAAAAAGGTGTTACGTGTGAAAAAGGTGTTATGTGTGATATATATATTGAGGTTTAGATGTAGGCATGAAAATAAATAGAAATTGAGTGGCGCTTACGTAAATGTTCCAATAAAAAATATATAAAAAAAGATTATAAAGGAATTAAAGTGCTTCAAAACTATATTCAAATTATGCAAAAAAAAAAAAAAAAAAAAAAAAAAAAAACTCACAAATTCATCCAACAGTCGTCATTATGTGATATGTTGCTCATGTCATACTAGTTTATGTTCAAAAGAAAAATTAAAATTTTGACCAAAAAATTATAAATATGGGTGGAATAAGACTCTTTTTTTTTTATAGAGGGAGGAAAATTGTCCACCCTAAACTCAAAAAAAAATATTACATCGGGACTCTGCACGTAAGCACGTAAAGTTACATGCGGAGTCTAATGAAATTACGTCGTGGAGGTGATCAACCCGGTAACACAAAGAATATTTTCCTCGTGTTATTCAGATGTTATTGTGTGTTATTCATGTGTTATTGTGTGTTATTCAAGTATTATTGATGTGTTATCGCGTTATTATAATATCCGGAATATTCTTAGAACACAATAACACCTGAATAACACATAATAACATCTGAATAATACGAGTGAAATATTTTTTTTGTGTTACCGGGCCGATCACCTCCACGACGTAATTTCATTGGACTCCGCACATAACTCCACGTGATGAGTCCTAATGTAATATTTTTTCCCTAGACTCAGGGTAGGAATAACTAGGACAACAAAAGAAAAAATATTAAATTATTCTTCCATATAAATAAAAATGAATTTAAATATTCACCCCCATACAAATGAGAAGTTAATTTTAATAAAATTGCAATTATCATAAAGAAATAGAAAGCAAGCAAATTTTCTTATTTATATACAATCACGAATTATTAATCAGCCTGCGCAATTACACATTTATAACTATATCCACCACATTAAATAAATAATTATATAAATTAAACTGCCACATTCATACAGTTTAAATTCTTACGCGAACATCACCAGGCTGGAATCTGTTCAGCCTGCCTTCCTCTCAAAACCCTACGACCCCCTCGTGTTACTCTGCGGCGGAGAGAGCGGGTGTCGGCGGCGAGAGGAGAGGAGATATCGGAGATCGGGATCGTTTCTTCTTCTTTGATCGCTGTGGAGAGGTGTTGTTTCTTCCATGGCGTGGTTTTTGCGAAAGTTTTTAGAATGATAATGAGATCACAAGATTTTACTGATTGGAGCTATGAATTTGATCTGGATTTATAATGCTCACCTAGTACTTTTCGCAGGAGAGAACTCATTGTGTAATGATGATGTGTTTCTATGTTGTAGTGATGTCATTTTGTTCAGATCGGCATATTTCAATCTGTTTTTAGTTTTTTTGTTGATCCCGCATTTTCAAAGTCAATATAGCTTGTTAATTTAATTTTTTATTTGCGTTTTTCATCTTATATAGGTTCTGTAGTTTGGTTGGCACTTGCAAGAGACCACCGAAACTCCCCCATATTTCTCATCCTTCCGCTCCGCTCGTACTAGACACCATTGTCGAAGGTAAGCCTGTTCGCGCGATTCTTCCTCTTTGCTTGTCCCGGATTGACTAAATCCGCCGATCGGCAGGATTTAGTAAGTCCCGGATTATCACGAATCGGCGTCATTTTGGGGGTTGACGGGAGCTCAGGATTCACGCAGGAGTTTTTTGCCGTTTCCCGGGATTTCGCTTAAATCCTGCGTGAAACCTGCTACCGTACAGCCCCTTATTTTCAGTAAAGAAATATGTGCAATCTATACCTGTAATTTTTATTAATCATAATATATGTATTTGTATATGCATTTGTTAATGTTTGATAGCTTAATTCGTAAGGATATTGACACTGACTTATATTTTTATGACGGAATGAGATAAGATCATGCATGTAAACACAAAAAAAAAAAAAAAAAAAAAAAAAAAAAAAATGGCGTTTAGAGATACTTACCACAAAAAAAAAAATAAAAAAAATAAATAAAAAAAAAAATAACAAAAGAATAATATTTACTTACCACTGACTTTTAGAGATACTTACCATTTTACTCCTTGAACTGTGATTTTTTCTTCTTCACGTCATGCGTATTCCTTATTATTCTATATATGTTTTTTTTTAGTGAAGGGGATTTCAAGATGGCGAAATCTGGAGCCTTGGATCTTGCAACCGGGGTTGGAGGAAAGATTAAGAAGGAAGAGGTCAAATTAGCTGTGGAGAAGTATATATTTTTCTACCATTTTTATGATTTGTTTTCTTCCTGTTACATTCATTTGGCAAATAGTTCACTGTAAACGCTATGAAAAACTAATCAGGAAGTTAAATAGAGCTCTCTTAAAACTTCAGGAAGAAATCAGTGATCTTTTGATTCTTTTAGAGAATTTTAGGGGATGATTGTGCTTGTCTATTTGTTTAATAGACCAGGTATAAGTGATATATATATTTTTCAATGTTACAAAAGAAAGGTTTGAGCCTTATAAGTTGTTCATTTAGTAGAAGACAACTAAACTGATGATCTTAAGGTCATGCCTACATGCTTGCTACAAGTAAGGGGTAAAAAGGGTAAATATAGAAATAAGAGTCCACAAGCAACAACCACATGGAAAACAGTGCACATGAGAATTTGTTAGCCTATTCTATATTATTGATATCATGCAAAAGTGGGACCTTAGAGATGATGAATGATTCGTACAATGTGGTATCCAAAATATCGGGGAATCTGCCATTATGTCCAAAAAATAAAACGAACATTAAAAGTTAAAACTAGCAACTGATAAGAAAAAATATGAAGAATATCACCTAAAAGTTTCAACCCTTAATATCTCAATGTATGGGTATATTCGTTAGGGTTCTTTACTGTAGGAGGAAATGCAACAAAGAACTAATAAAACTCTTAAAATCGAGAAATCAATGTTATAATTTGTAATTATAGGGTGGTCACTGACTAATTTCTCGATTAATGTAATAATCTGCCATTATAGGGTGGCCACTGACTGCAAATGAAAATTTAACCAACCAAAAAATAAATCCATGAATTCAGTAATAGCGTGAGGCCATGAACATGAGATTGAGAAATAAAAAGGAGATAATTGATAATTTAGGAAGAATATGGAACATTGTAGAAAGGATACTTAAACCCATAATCAAATATAAACATAACAGGGAAACCCCATGGCACTATTGCCCAATCATCCACATTATACAAAGTAACCACTAAAGATTCATCAATTGTAGCACTACTAACAAACCAAACAACAATAAAGAACAAAAAACCAATAGTAAGAAAGAAATAACACAAGGCATTCTCATTAGGGGTCATCATCTACAGGTGGCCAACAAACAAAACAACCAATAAATCCATCAAAATCAAAGCATTTAGTGCTTAGAATTGAAGTAACAATATAGGTTAACTCAAGTAAACAACGACAAGAAATACAAATGAAATAGAAATAATGGAAGGAGTTAAAGGGAAGAAAGCTTCCTAAGGTAAGTAATTCCCCATTTGCTTAGTCGAAGACTACCTACAAGGTTACCATAAAATTCCCTAGGATTATGATCTCAATTTTGGACTTTCATTCCCTAGAATAGTGGGCACCACTAGTACCTTCTCTTAAAATATAAGAGAGTTTGAATGGGATATTACTATATTTAAAATTAGGCAATCTAAGGGTGCCTCGACTCAATTCTAGCCTAAACTGCTTTGAGGTGCATGCCTCATGTTCTTCAAGTGAGGCTTAAGCCTCACATTTGGTGAGACACGCCTTAAGGCTCTCCTCACCTCAATGTCATTGAGACATGCACCTCTTAGTTTTAGATTTTTTTTTTCCTTTTGATTTAATTTAATGTCATAACTTTTAACTGACCCTACCAATTCAGCCATGCCCCTTCATGCATGAACTTCACGCACGAAACTCCTTTCCCACATGTTTGCTCCCTAGGTTGCCGCCTTGACCGACCATCCCTAGTGTCGTAGTTGAAACTGCTTGCCACCACCACCGCCCCTAATTGTTGTTTTCACTCTTACAATTTTTGTGATTGTGAGGCTTATGCTTCAAAATGCCATGTGGCTTACATCTCAACTCAATGATGGAAAGTGTAACATATTAGAAATTACAAAATAGCTTATACCCTTATTAACGGGGAGTCTAGAAACCTCTTCAAATGATTTAATGGCATTCACAAGTCTCTAAGGAGAAGGTTTACTGCCTTAAATAAAACGAGGATATTATTAACGCAAGTCAAGTGATTTTCAAAGAACATTTAGCCTTAAAACACATCGAAGGGTAGACATAACAAAGCTCTTGCAGGCTTCTCCTTTCTTAACCTGTTCATAGATTTAATGATCCAATACTAGTGTCATCCAACATGATTGGAAATCAGTATTAAAAAATGTAAGTTTGGTTAGATTCCGTACAAAAGCCAAAACATGCCTTCAAAATGAAATCCCAATTTATTCATCATAAGTTCTTTGTAAGTCTAATTTGAACAGAACATTTCTTCACTTAACATTACAATTAATCTGATAAAGAAACTTCGAGCTAAAAGAATTTTATCACAAATTTCCTACCATAAATAAAATAACTATGTTTTGGGAAGTATGAGTTATGGTTGATAGACTCCAACCTTTTGGATGGTAATTTGAAAGGAATTTATCAATTGTAATAAATAGGTTGATGGATTTGTAATCTTTCCTACGAATAGTGTTAGGGGACTTGAGACACTGTGACAATAAAGTAGTACAATTGATTTAGGGATGAAAAATGCACGAAACAATACTAGAACAAATTCATCATTGTTTTCATTAATGAATTTTGAGCACCATTGATTGACAAGGCCTATGAAATCATTAGGCTTAATAGATTTATCTTTATTTATTTCAAATACCTTTTTTTAAGTTCTTCATGCAAAGTTAGTTCAATACAGATTCATTACACCATTAATTGATAGGTTAGGTGTAAATGAAGTATAAAGATTATATGAAAAATTATTATCAGCACAAAATCTCATTAAAATAATTTATAATAGAGCTTTTAATGTGTTCAGAGCCTTTGGTTTAAGAGCCATTCTCTTCTTGAATTTTTTTGATTTCATTAGAAGATTTTTTTTTTTTTGGGACAAAATTTTGAAAGAATTTCGTTTTCCAACCCCTCTTTAATTCTATCATATTATCGTTTCAATGTTAAAAATTTTCCTTTGTATATTTTAGAAAATGAAAAAAATCTTTAACTGTACATTTTTTAAGGTTGATATTATCTTTTGTCAAACCATATTTTTGGAGTTAGGTTTTAGAAATTATAAAATCCTTTTCAACCACTTTATGTCAGCACCAAAGATCTCCAAATATATTTTTATTCAACCATTTGATATTCAATTTTTTATCTCTCATGTTTAACCCAAAGTTTAACTAATCCAAAGATTTTATAAGGAGCAGACTAATTCTTTTTTACAAATTCTTTAAAATTGGTCGCATGGTCCACTAATTTTGATACTCGAAACGAGGACAAACCACACAAAATGTGTAGAAATTTCCAAAAGCAAAGGTAAATTATAATATTTAGTTTTGCTCAAGTGGGTAGCATCAGTTATATCAAACTTAATTATGTAGGATGCTGGAAGAAGAACCTTATACAATCTCTATGAAATACTTATGATTGTCCTAGTGAATATTTCGTCAACCTAACATTTGAGATATTACAATCTCGTACAGCCTTGGGAAACTCATCTTCATTTTCTTCATTATTAGAGATCATGATATTAAATTATTAATAGATTGATTACCAGTAGAAATAAAACTCTCTTTTCGCCTCGTTAGTTTTATTATGGAAGTTCAAAAGTAGCCCTTGAAATCTAATGATGGGTTTTGAAGAGTTAATCCTCTCATAAGTCATAGGTTCAATTTAAACCAAAAGCTAGGGTTTATGATTTTTTATCAGCTTTTTAGTTGAATTTTTTAAGGTGTTTTGGAAGCTGTGTTAATGTTCCAAATCGGTGATTTGACCATTAACAGATAATATGTTGCATATGCTCTGGTCAACCTAGAAGAATTTGGTGCAATATTGTTCCCCATTTTGTTTTTTGTCATTGTTTTCATAGAAGGATTTGTAAGGGATAGAGATGAGATATTGAGAAAATGTTGAATTTGAAAGCATCTCACTATACAGCAGATTTTGCACATTTTTTTTCCATAATATTTTGATTGCTTCAAAGCTTTTTCGTAATTGAGGAAACTATATGCTTTTAATTTGAACAGTTGGGTCTACAAAGAGCGGACAAATAATCAAAATTTATCATCGCTTATCATGAATGCTGCTCAACTCTCTATTTTTTTTTGGGAAATTCCAAAGAGAATTTTATTAATACCAAAACAAGGATGTAATCTCTGGGTGGAGGTACCTGCTATACCCAAAATATAACTCACATAAATGAAAACCTATGGAACCGTCACCGATTGGGACAACACACACAAAAAGCAAAAGAACAAACCACGCTTACGGGAGAAAAATAATGGAGACAATAATGGCACAGTGACATAAGAGATTGATCCGAATAAAAGAACATCCATAAGTCCAAGCCAAACATAGCAAGAGAGTCATCACCAAGCTCCCAAGACGGTAAGCAGAAGCAAGGAGAACCCAACTTGAAAAGACCAACCAGAAAACAAGCAAAAAATCAACTTGCACATAACATAAGTGGACCATCCTACATAACACTTAATCGAAATGGTTAGCAAAACATCAAAGAGAAAGGGAAAAACAAAGGAACCAAAGAATCATAAATTTGTTTTAACGGCTTATCAGCAAAATAGAAGTTATTTTGGGCATCACATAAGGAGAGGCAATCATGAAAAAGCTTTATACCAAGAACTTTACTATTGTGGGCATCAAATACGGTGGAATATATTTAAAAACACTAAGATATACCATCCACCAATTGATAGAGATAATATGCTCATGAATCCTATAGCCCAACATAAGATAAATTACCACATGGTCATACAAAATCAAAAAAGTGCCACGAATAAGTAATACTTGAAAGATGGCACGCATATTTATCGTGGTGGTAAAACACAATAGTTATTCAAATTTGATTGGTACAGTGCATCTTTATATTATGAAAAGTAGAGCTAAAATATTAGGTGCTAGGGATGGAAGCCCCAATCACATTATTTAAGCAGAGCTCTGAAAAAGGAGAACAAGTCAGACCATCCAACATGGTCAAGCA